CTAAGTTGTGAACAACAACATGTAACTGATGCCGTTTATTCCTCAAAAGCTGAAACAAGATTATAAGATGTCCAATCACATGTCTCAACATCAACCTAGACATCTTATAAGGAACTATGATCCTATATATAAGCGATAGAGATGTGATTAATGTGGATTTCTTGGTCACCTGAAGTCTTCCGATTACAAACTATATGGATACCCCAACCAAGTGACTGCTCTCAGAAGAAAACCTGGTCATTGCAAGGCAAGGTCAAAAGAAGCTTCTCATCCTGATGCATGTGGGTTTATATCCTATACGTATCTAAAAGCCTCAACCAAGGAAGATTGGTACTTTGATAGTGGATGTTCTAGACACATGACTGGTGTCAAGAAATTCCTAGTAAACATCAAACCATGTGACTCGAGCTATGTCAATTTTGGAGATGGGTCAAAAAATGAAATAAAATATGTTGGAAAGGTGGAGTATGCAGGACAACCCAATCTTGAAAATGTATTATTTGTAAAAGGACTACCTGCAAACCTGATAAGTATCAACCAACTATGCGATAAAGATGTCAAAGTTACTTTACTAAATCTGAATGTGTGATTACAATGATAAGAAGGAAGTTTTTATGAAATGAACCAGATCAAAAGACTACTTCCACTTATGGCACCAGAAAAAAAGTCTCTCAACATGTTTAATGTCAAAAGATGATGAAGTCAACATATGACATCAAAAGCTTGGTCATATTCATCTGAAAGGTATGAAGAAGATCTTATCAAAAGAAACTATTATAGATATTCTCAAGACAAAGATTGATGAAGGGAGAATTTATGGTGAATGTCAGATTGGAAAGCAGATAAAGATGGTCCACAAGAAGATCCAACATCTTACTACCACAAGAGTTCTAGAGTTGCTTCACATGGATTTGATGGGACCTATGCAGGTTAAAAGTCTTAGAGGGAAAAGGTATGCATGTGTTGTTGTTGATGATTATTCAAGATTCACTTGGGTAAAGTTCATCAAAGAAAATTATGAGGTGTTTGATGTCTTCAAGGAATTATGTCACAAGATTCAAAGAGAGAAGAACTGTGGTGTTGTCAGAATCACGAGTGATCATGGGAAATAATTTGAGAACAACAAGTTCGAATAATTTTATGCTTCTGAAGGAATTAGTCATGATTTTTCTTCACCCATTAATCCTCAACAAAATGGTGTGGTTGAACGAAAGAACATGACCATTCAAGAGTGTGTGAGAGTTATGCTTTATGCCAAGAAATTACTTCTTTACTTTTGGGTTGAAGCCATAAATAATGCTTGCTATATTCATAATAGGGTGATAATTAGAATTGAGACTTCAGTTACTCTTTATGAATTGTGGAGAGGAAGAAAGCCAACATTCAAATACTTTCATGTCTTTAGGAGTAAATGTTACATTATGGCTCACTGAGAGCCAAGAAGGAATTTGGATGCTAAAAGTGATGAAGAAATTTTTCTGGGATACTCTACTACTAGCAAAGCATATAAAGTATTCAACTCCAGAACCAAGGTAATGATGGGATCTTCAAATGTGATTGTTGATGACATAGAAGATGATGTCCCAGAAGAAGTTGGGACAATCATTCCAGCTGAAGATATGATTCCTGAAGAAGTTGACTCTGAAGTTGAAGAACCTCGGGAGTTGACAAGGGACCTTCTCTTAGGATCCAAAATGATCATCCTAAGAAGCTTATAATCGAGAATCCTAGACAAGGGGGTGGTTACTAGATCAAGGGAAGTTGTATAAAATGCTTATTTTGTGTCAAAAATAGAGCCAAAGAATGTGAAGGAAGCTTTGACTGATGAGTTATAGATTAATGCTATGCAAGATGAGCTTGGTCAGTTCAAGAGAAATGAAGTATGGGATTTGGTACCAAGACCTGAAGGAACAAATGTCATTGGTACAAAGTGGGTGTATAAGAAAAAAATAGATGAACAAGGAAGTGTCATCAGGAATAAGGCCAGACTGGTTGCTCAAGGGTACACTCAAATTGAAATATTAGACTTTGATAAAACATTTTCTCATGTGGCTTGCTTGGAGTCTATCAGATTGTTGCTTGGAGTGGCTTATCACTTAAAGTTAAAACTATATCAGATGGATGTCAAGAGTGATTTTTTGAATGGGTACCTGAATGAAGAGGTTTTGTTGAACAAACAAAATGATTTGTTGATCCATCTTTCCCAAACCATGTGTTCAAACTAAATAAGGATTTGTTTGGTCTAAAGCATGCTCCAAGGGCTTGGTATGAAAGATTGATTGAATTTCTTGTCAATCATGGATATAAAAACAGTGGAATTGACAAGACCCTATTTGTTAAAGATAAGGATAGAGAGCATATGATAACCCAAATTTACATGGGTGATATTGTCTTTGGGGGAAAGTCAGATGAAATGGTTCAGCATTTTGGTAGGTGAACTGACTCACTTTCTTGGTTTACAAGTTAAACAGATGGAAGATTCTATTTTCTTGTGTCAAAGTAAGTATGCCAAGAATATTATGAAGAGGTTTGGAAAAGAAAATTACAAACATAAGAGAACTCCCACTCTTACTCACGTGAAGCTATCTAAAGATGCAAATAGGGTGAATGTTGATCAGGGTTTATATAGAAGCATGACTGGAAGTCTTATATATCTCACTGCCAGCAGACCAAACATAACCTTTGTAGTTGGAGTTTGTGTAAGGTACCAAGCAGAACCTAAGGTGAGTCATATTAATCAAGTGAAAAGGATTCTGAAGTATGTCAATGGCACTAGTGATTATGGAATGTTGTATTCTCATGACTCAAGTTCCATTCTGGTGGGATTATGTGATGCGGATTGTGCTAGAAGTGCAGATGATAGGAAGAGTACCTCTGGTAGATGTTTCTTTATGGGAAACAACTTTATCTCCTAGTTTAGTAAGAAGAAAAAATGTGTTTCTCTCTACTGCTGAAGCTGAATACATAGCAGCAGAAAGTAGCTGCTCTCAACTGGTATGGATAAAACAAATGTCATATGAGTATAATGTCACACAAGGTGTTATGACATTATTTTGTGACAATTTAAGTGAAATCAACATTTCCAAAAATCCTATTCAACACAGTAGGACCAAGCACATTGATATCAGGCATCATTTCATCAGGGAACTTGTGGAGGACATAGTCATAAAACTTGAGCATGTTAGTACTAAAAATTAGCTTGCCGATATCTTCACAAAAGCTCTTAATACTGCATAGTTTAAGAACACGAGGAGGAGACTTGGAATTTGTATTTATGAAGAATTATAGCAATTACTGTTGGTGTTGCATCTGTTATTGAAGATGCTAAGGATGTTGTTGCACTTGATACACGAGCTGGAGAGGGTGCATGAAAGCTGGTCATGCAGTTTTGTTTGGATCTGCCTTGTGATCCTGTTTATTTATATTTATTATTATGTAAGGATTAAATACCCATGATATATTTAATTTTATGCACCCTACTACTTTATAACTTTTAGGTGCTTTGAATTTTTGCTAATATTTTCTACTTACCTTTGTAATATTATGGCTAAAAATGGGGAGTAGTGTGATATTGAGGGTGCTGAAATAGGTACTACTAATGGTACTTGTGAGGGGGGAATTTATGTTCTTCCATTTTTGTGATAGTAGGTATTGAGGGGGAGTTCCTGCTGTTCTAGACTGTAGGATGCCAGACATGATGTCTTGACATCATGGCATGGAGAACTTAGATTCTCTATGTATGTTGCAGTTATGTTAGTAGATCCTCTAACTACTAACTGTGTTTTGGTTATGTGCTGCTATTTTTGTGCTGCTTACCTTGCTCATTTCTTTTCCGTTTTTATGCCTCTGATATGTATGCTTGATTTTTCAAATATATTATGGCATTTTGTGTGCAAGGGTTATTTGGTTGTTTTAGCTAAAATGCGCCAAAAGGGGAGATTGTTATTTCTTTGAATTTGTGATTGGAAATCATTTTGGTAAAAGCAACGTGGCGGCAACATGTTGAATAAATAAGTCTCAACTTATTGTTTTCAACATGTCAAAGAAGATGTCCCAACCTGGAGATAGGACATAGAGTCTACATCAGTCGATAGTAATGTCTCAATTGATTTATCAGTTATTGAATATTTGGGGAATATTCAGTTACCTGATGTGGAATCCAAGATTGACAACTCAGATTATTTTATGTTTGTTTTTTAAGATTTGCATAGTTTCTAAATATGGAGACATTTTAGGAAACTATTGATTGAAGACCAATTATCTTGTAGGAGTTTTTGTAGACTTTGTGTAGCCTCATTAATGCGGTTTTGAAGCCTAACCCAGTCTATAATAATGTTATAAATAGACTGGTGTATACCTAGTTTTAAGTTCCTTGTCAGATGATCTCGAGCTTTTAAGCATAAAACATTTGTGTGTCAGGTACTCACAAGCTGTGAAGCATTGAGTACTTATGTGTCAATTCTCATAAGCTTTTAAGCATTAAGTTTTGTGTTTCTTGGAAGAGTGACTTCCATTTTTGTTCTCTACTTATGCTAAAGTGTCTCCAATTTCTGAGTGTACTTGAAGAGGGATTTGAGGAGGGCCTCGTACCTAGGTGTGTCTTAGATAGAAGTTAGACAAAAGGGTAGTGATTAAGTGCGTAGACTGTAAACTGGAGGTTTGCTGTGAGGTCTACAAATTGATACTATCTAGTTAATTTCATCCCTGGCTTGGTAGCCCCCAGAGTAGGAGTTGTTGTCTCTGAACTAGGTAAACATATCTGGTGTTATTTACTTTCAACACTATTTTATTTGTTTATACTTCTTGCTGTTGTGTGTGAAGTCGGTTCCGATGTCTTGACATCTTTTAGGACATCCGGGATCTGATAGCCAAAATTTCAGTTTTATTTCCTATCATTTATGTTACATCATCTTCTGTTTTACTCTTTATATATTAGCATTTCGTCCCAATCAAACACATCTCTGCATCACTTATTCTGTTCCATACTCTATCTTGAAGCCATGCTGCCAAATTATCTTGAGAACAATCTCACTAAATCTTCTATTGCTAGACATAGGAGGAGACTTATTTTGAAAGGAAGGAGAAATACACGTGATGGTCTCAAGACACATCGACCTACTTCCTCTAAAGCCTCTAATTCTACATCCTTTATATTGCCTTCTTCATTAACCCTTACATCCGATGCAACAACTTGTAACTCATTTTATGTTGCATATGAAAAGTTGGAAAATATATATGAGTAGGCTATTTCTAGAAAGAGAAGGAAGCTAATCTTGGATAACAGGAAAAATATCACGTGATATTGCAAACATTGTGGCATCCCAGACACGTCTCTGCCAACGTCCAGTTCATAACAATGATCCAGCACTTGGAAATGCAAATACCTTGCTCAGAACTTTCAGGCACACCGTTAAAATAAATTGTAACGTGAGTCAGGCATCTACTTCTACTTCTACTTCTCCAACCTATGGTCAACATATAGCACCTGATATACCATTTGAACCACAATATTCACACGATGCGGTGCCCAATTCTGAGGATGATTTGAGTTTGGCTAATACTTTAGACTTTGATGCCGACATCAATCATGAATCGTTAGTAGATTCTCATATGCAAGGTATGTTCCATATGTTAGATTAAATTGTGAAATCATATGAATACTTTACATGTTAAATTACATTAACATGTACTTCAAATTATTAGCATGGTATAAAGGTGCAAATATTTTTTTAGCGTACGTGATTGTTTCGTTATATATCAGAATGAAACTTGCATGATTTAAACACCAACCTCTTGGAACCCCCTTTTAAACTTAATTCATAGTGCATGGTTTCTTAGATACAATTGGAAGCAACATAAGTGTTCACATACCTGTGCTTTTCATATAACAATTTTATCTCACAAAACATTTATTTTCATTTAATTTGAATAAACTAATATTTAAGACAAGTAGCAACCCCATGTGATGCAGACATGTGAATTTTCTATTTGTGTTATTCCTTTGCAGAATATTCTGATATAGGAGACCAAAAATGGGAATGTACATATTGTCAAGCTTGTATGTGTTATCAGCAACGCGCTGAAAAACTGAAAACACCAAATGTTCCAAAGTTCCTTCGTTGCTGTCGGGGTGAGAAAATTGTTTTACCCTTACTTCAAGAACCACCAAAACTGTTGCAACATCTTCTGTATAATAGAACATGTCCAGAGAGTAAAAACTACCAGAATAACATTCAAACATACACCACTTTGTTTTCTTTCACTTCTCTTGGAATGAAATTTGACATAACATACTCGAACACAGGTGGCCCACCTAATTTGAGACAACACCGTCAAACCTGTCATGGAATAGGTACCCTACTATCGAAAATTGGACATCCTCCCCAATATGCTCAGCTATATATCTATGACACAAACAACAAATTTGATAATAGAATGGAATGTTTCAGGTTTTTCTAACTTCTTTCCAATACAAAACTTGTTTCTCACTCCATTTCATGTCTCAGTTTTTCACATTTTATGGAATCAGCAGAGACAATAAACTGATCCAAAGGGACATTGTCGACAAGTTGAATATTATGTTAGATGAGTTCAATGTTCATGCAAAGGCTTTTAGAATGGCAAGGGATATTTTGAAGGCTAATTCTTTCTTAGACTTAAACTTATGGCTTATTTGTGATAGACCTGAGGATGGACGTGTCTATAACAGACCTACAGTGTCAGAGGCTTCCGCCCTAATTGTCGGAGATATTGATTCTGCTTCTAAAAGAGACATCATCATTCAACCACGCGAAGATGGTTTGTAACAAATAGATGAGTTTTGTCCTGCATATTTGGCATATCAATACCCTCTTATATTTACATATGGAGAAGATGGTTATAGAAAAAATATACTTCACAAGTATCACCATGAAAAGGAGGTTACTAAGAAAAATCATCAAAGCATCAAAGACTGGCTTTCCTACCCGTTATAACAATGCCGCAACAAGGCAAAAACATTACTTCACTCAAGACGTCTATTTCAACAGTTCTTAGTTGACAATCATGCAAGGATGGAATCTAAGTGACTTAATTGGTTGAGGAATAATCAATCAAAACTGAGAGTTGGAAAATATAATAGGTTGACTGATCAATGTGATGGTGGTGGAGCCAACTCATGAGAAAAATAACAAGTGTATTATTTTTGCCTTGCAGTAATACTGGGAAATTCCCCAAATGTCGATCTCAAGGATTGCATGCAATTATCGAGTTCAATTCATGTTCAGTTAAACAAAAACTTAATTTGGGGTTTTGGTTTTAATATTGTCACTTAGCAGAAATAAAAAATAAGTAGAATGTAAATTAGGGCTTTTTCACAGATATGAGGAGCATGCTAGGGTATGGTGTATAATTTTCCCTTTAACAACCTTGAATCCTGATCTCTTCAACAAGTTCATATCCTTCAATTATCAGCCCTTTAGATTATCTTCCCCCAAGTCCTTAGTGGGAAAACCTTTAACCATCCATCCTAAATCCTAACTCCTTAGAGATATCTGATAGAGTCAAGCCTTTATTTTATCAAGGGTTAAATTCAGTAACTATAGGGTATCCCTAGTCCTATGTGATATCTACTATAGGCTAATTATACAAAATCCTTAACAACCATGGTCCAACTGGTTGTTAACCGTAAATCAATCATAATTTGTCCGATCAGGAAGACATAAAAACACTATACAATTAAATTGAATAGATAAGACTATTATATTAAAGAAATTCAAGAATAAAAATCATTTACAAATTCAAATCAGGGACACCCCGTAGCATTGGGGGGGGGGGGGGGGGTTATCTACTTATATTGTTTAAGATAATCACAAGACAAAATATAGACATTACAAGGATTGGGATGAACTTTGATCTTCAATTGCTTCTGCGCATGAAAGTCTTCTGCTCTTCGAAAATCTTGACTTCTCCAATCTTCAGTCGTGTAAACTATTCTTCCCTCCAACTAAATGTCAAAAAGTCTTATAAACCAAATAAGGGTTTTCACTACTAACTCAAACTAGGCCGGAAACGTAAACCAGGCACGTAAAACGACATAAAACAACTAAATTTCTAAAGTCTGCAACTTTAATAAATTTTTTGAGGCTTCTACAATCTGAATCAACTTCTGACTTCAAAATGAAAGTTGTAGCTCTTTCTGTTAGCTTTCCAAGGAATATTAGAACATGTCGATCAGATTCTCGTAGCTCTAGTTATGAATTTTTTAATAAAAATGGATCAATTAGCACAATGTCTGACATGGACCATGTCAGGTAAAACGGGTGGCCGTGTCAGGCCTCCTGAAGCGTGCAGGAAATTTTTCCGAAACTCTGAATTTTGCACTTTTTTAGCCCTAATTTGTCTTGATTTATTCATGTGAACCTGAAAATAGTAAAACACACAACCAACGTATAAAAAATGGTAAAATGAAATAAAACACTTGACAATAAAAAGAAAAGATAACTAAAATTAATGGTAAATAAATGTGTAAAAACCACTGATCAAACTCCCCCAAACTTAAACCGTTGCTTGAACTCAAGTGACAATTACAAGAGCTCATGAAATTCGCAGCATAGCGGCACTCATATGTGAGATATTCATTCACATTGATCAAAAGACAGTTCGTACAATGTTTACATGACGCAAAGAGTTTGTTTAAGAACCTTCTAATCTCTAGCTTTCTTTTTGGATACCTCTCTAACTATGGTTTGTACTTAAGTCTCTTTTCAATTTCCTCCTTTTTCATTCAGACAGTCAAATTAAGGAAATGAGAATTATTATGATCATCACATGCACAAGATTAATCAAGAATTTTTTGTTTAGGCACCAAATAAGCAGCATTGGCTACTTTTAATTACCGATGGAATTTTCAAACTTTGCAGTTATATATTGTCCTTTTGGATGACGTTTGGGGATCAACCCCTTTGGGTTGAATAACCGGGTGAGGGCTACCCAACTTCGCGAGCCAGTTGTCTTTTACCGCCTTTTCATCATTTGGTGCCAAATTTATTTATTTCTCCATCAATCATACATGCATGTAAATCTATATCATGCCAGACTGTAAAGATAAACTACTTCAGGAGTACTTCTCAGGATTCAAACACTATGGTAAAAATCTACATGTTAAACTCTTATTACTATAACATTATTTCGAACTTCCTACCTCCAAAGAATCATCCCTTTATCTCTATATACTTTTCCGATTTCTTTGAATTACAAGCTCTTGTGCAAACTAAAACAAAAAATTTCGGTAAAAATTTGGGAAGGACTTCAACTCATGGATTTACACAGTAATTAACCTAAAACCAACAAATAACTCGAAAAGAAAAGTAGTAACCCCCCCCCCCCCCCTAAACTTGAACTAAACATTGACCCCAATGTTTCAGAATAAGCTTGAGGAAGGTGACTCACAAAGGGAAATGAAACACATGATGCTGCCTCCTAGCTTTCACCAGCAAGACTCCCTTTTTACTACCTGTAAAAAAAATGAAACAAACACAAAAAAGAAAAACTAAGTTATTAAAAGCGTGTGTTTCCTCCCATGAAGCGCTTCGTTTAAGGTCGCATAGCTCGACGGTTCATTCCCCTTGTTAGGGTGGCAATATTACACAAAGAACACATCATATTTCTTCTTCCTTTTTTTTTGGTAGCAACCCCATGAACTTAAAGTACTGATGATGTTTCCTCCAAATCACTTTCAGCTTGATTTTATTGAACAAGGCATAAATGACATCCAATACTTTGTCAATTTCTTATCAATCATCAGCTTTGTTGTGAAAATAATTTTTATGGAGACTCTTTGGTTGAAGATTTTCTGATTGGATGTCCATATCTTCAAAAATTATCAAGTTTGTAGTTTTATCCAAAACTCGATCATCTTCAAGTTTCTTAATTTCCTCTTCCCCATCATTCTTGTTTACCTTAAATTCTTCTATTCTCACTGCATCTTTGTCATCTGGTGTTATGCATTCTTCTTCTGGTTTCACATCTTCTTCTTCCAACTGTAACTTTCACCACAGTCTTACCTTCCTCCTATATTCTATAAAAATTCCAGTCGCCTCTTCCAAAGTTAATCCCGAATCATACGTCCAACATGTAGGAGATACACATGGCAATGTATCGAGATAATACATGACTACAAAACTCACACACTTGGTTAATAGCAAAGTATAGAAGAATCCATGAAGCAAACATAATCTAACCATTTTTTAATATTTTTTTATAATAAAATAAAATACAAATAATAAAAAAACTGAAACAAAATTTTAGTTGACGAACAACAAAATTTAAATTGAACTAAAATTGCACTCAATAACTAGGCAGTCCCCGGCAACAACGTCAAAAACTTGATGGGAAAAATAGAAAGTGTACTATTTTTCCTTACAATAATACTAGGAAATTCCCCGAATGCCAATATCAAGGACTGCATGCAATTATCGAGTTCAATTCACGTTCAATTAAACAAAAAATTAATTTGGGGTTTTGGTTTTGAAATTGTCACTTAGCAGAAATAAAAAGTAAGTAGAATGTAAATTACAGATTTTTCACAGATATGAGGAGCATGCTAGAGTATGGTGTATAATTTGCCCTGTAATAACCTTGAATCCTGATCTCTTCAACAAGTTCATATCCTTCAATTACCATCCCTTTAGATTATCTTCCCCTAAGTTCTTAGTGGGAAAAAATTTAACCATCCATCCTAAATCCTAAGTCCTTAGAGATATATGATGGAGTCAAGCCTTTATTATATCAAGGGTTAAATCCGGTAACTATAGGGTATCCCTAGTCCTAGGTGATATCTACTATAGCCTAATTATACACAAACCTTAACAACCACGATTCAGTTGGTTGTTAACCGTAAATCAATCCTAATTTGTCCGATCAGGAAGGCATAAAAACATCGTACAATTAAATTGAATAGAGAAGACTATTGTATTAAATAAATTCATGAATCAAAATCGTTTATAAATGCAAATCAGGGACACCCCGTATCATTAGGGGGTTTAGCTACTCATATTGTTCAAATTAATCACAAGACAAAATATAGACATTACAAGGATTGGTATGAACTTTAATCTTCAATTGCTTCAGCGCATGAAAATCTTCCGCTCTCTGAAAACCTTGACTTCTCCAATCTTCAGTCGTGTAAACTATTCTTTCCTCCAACAAAAGGTCAAAAAGTCTTATAAACCAAATAATAGTTTTCACTACTAACTTAAACTGGGTCGGAAACATAAACCAGACCCGTAAAATGACTTGAAATAACTAAATTTCTAAATTCTTCAACTTTAATAAATTTTTCGAGGCTTCTACAGTCCGAATTAGCTTCTAACTTCAAAATGAAAGTTGTAGCTCTTTCTCTCAACTTTCCGACGAATATTAAAACGCATCGATCCTATTCCCGTAGCTCCAGTTATGAATTTTTTTAGTGAAAACTGATCAATTAGCATATTGTCTGACATGGCCCGTGTCAGGTGACACGGGTGGCCGTGTCAGGCCTCCTGAAGCGTACCGAAAACTTTTTTGAAACTCTGAATTTTGCATTTTTTTACACTGATTTGTCTCGATTTATTTATGTGAACCTGAAAACAGTAAAAGACACAACCAACGCATAAAAAGTGGTAAAATGAAATAAAACACTTGACAATAAAAAGAAAAGATAACTAAAATTAATGGCAAATAAATGTGTAAAAACCACTGATCACCAACCGACCATAAAAGCAAGGAAAGCATGTAGTGTTAGCATCTACATTCGTTGGTAGCAAGAGATACATGGATCAACTATATT